CACACACACACACACACACACACACACACACACACACACACACACACATCAGTGTCCTTCTGCAAGTCTTTTACTGACTGAATCAATGAACTTTTATTTCACCTTTTACGGTTTTGAAGTTGTGTTAAAAATCACAGTTCATCAACATGTTATGAGCTGTTTTGCTTTTTTTTTTAATTTCACAGCTGAAATGAAATGAATTGATGTGATTTTCTGCTGACTGTGGAATTATGGGTTTTGTATGATTATGTAAAGAGATGCACATGAAGCTTTATTCTGTAAATTGTCTTTTGTCATGAATATCTGTTCAAATTAATTATAGAAATATTTTGCTTCATTACACTTGTTTTGAAACAGGCTCAGTTGTGTCGTTAAGATCCTTTGTTCCTCTAAAAATATTAAAAATGATAAATTATTCTACAACTCATTTTGTCTTTTGATTGAGTTTATATCCGAGTGTCTGTGAAGAACTGCAGTTATTCTAGAAATACGTGTGGTTTATTTACTAGAGTAACTGTAGAAATAGTGCAGAATATTTGAATAGAGCTGCACTCTCATTTAGGAAAGTCATATTATTTACAACATGCAACTGGTGAAACTGGATATCACGTGATTGGCGCTCATTTGCATTTTGCTAATAAATGAAATGTAATTTAAATGAAAATAAATATGATGGACAAGACAACCAAAAGTACTTATTTAATTTCCCCTAAAATAGTTTTTCCCATCAATCAGCGTGACATGCAAATCAAATTAAATTTTTGACTGTTCGTTTAAAAACCAGTTCGTTTAAAAGTTCTCTCATAAAGCACATTATTGAGGCAATAACTAAAAAATATTCTCTGTTTCCTGAAACTGTATTTCTGGTGTTAATGCTAGTGATGCTCTGAAATGATGCACTTGGCCATAAACATACAATTATCTAGTTTTTTTTTTTTTTGTAGAATTGCATTAATAGTAGACTTTTTGAAACACTGAATCCAGAATTAAAAATTCAATTTAGCCAAAAATGTAAACGGAAAATGAAAATAAAATGTATGTAATCAATTAATTCCAACACAACTTGGGTCCGTGTAGCTTCTGGTTAAAGAGAAGTAAAGAGAATTGAGAAACTGCTTGACTTCTTGTTTGGTGTTTTTTTAATGAAGCTAGACTTTTCGTGTTTGTTGTTAATATGTAAAAACGAGAGTCTGATTTAATATTAGTTTCACGTGTGGACGACCCTGAAGCGCTGAATCCTGCAGCTTTGTCCTGAACAGCTGCTGCGTGTTATTCACAAAACACAGATTTTTAAAAAATGGCATATTTTCATGAGAAGAACAGGGTCAAATCTGAACACAAATAGGTATATAAACAAATCAATAAACATTTAAAGGGAGATTAAGAACAGACACACCAGGAATCAGATTAATTTACATATCGGAAAATAAAATAAGATGACAAATGAAATAAAAGGTGAGAAAGATAAAGAAAGGTCTATGTTCATGGCAAGAACAGGGTGAAATCACTTTATATATATATGTGATCTGTATGTCCAAAGTTTACTTTAATAAAATTGGTTTACTTCTAAATTTATATGTATGTGTTTGTGTGTGTGTATATATATATATATATACACAAACTAAAGAAATGATCCAGATAGGATTATGATTATCCAGATTATCTTGCATTATTCTGTGAATACTCTGCTTTGACGTTCAGTAATCAGTATTGTATAAAGCGCTATAGAAATAAAGCTGACTTGACATGGGATCCAAATATCAAAATAGGATGATTGTGATCCAAATTACAAAAGAAATACATAATAATTAGATTTTTTAGATCGGATCGCAAATCTTTTTTTCTGATTTATTTTCTTTTATTAAACAGTACAAATGTGTTGCCAGGTTAAAAACAGGACATAAATGAGTATATATTCACGAGAACACACCGGATGAATATTTCTCAGAGGTATTGTTAGGATACGCTAATTAAATGAGCCAAAAGCTGTTAAATATTTTCTTATATGCCTCTGTTTTGCCTTTAGAAGTGTGTCGCTTGATAACGTTTTCTAAATGTGTTTATATCTTTCTTTCCTCACCTCCTGACCTCCAGCGACAGATATATACAGGTGCATCTCAATAAATTAGAATGTCGTGGAAAAGTTCATTTATTTCAGTAATTCAACTCAAATTTATATATAGAACTGTAATGTGGTCAACAGACCTGGGACAACCTGGAAGTCATGCAGTAGACTACTATCTGTCTTAGAGTGCACTGCATTAATATTAATAAATGACTATATAAATGAAACTTTATTTGGGGGGGGGGTAATAGGGTAATATTACTGGGTAATAGTAAACCACTTTTTTCTTTAGGACTACACCACTGACCAGACCGTGTTACAGAGGTTATATTTACCTGTTCATTTATAGGCCAGCAGATATGTCCAAAACAAGTCTGCTTCATTGTATTAAAAGTGTACTTTTTAGAAAGTGCACTTGCAGATAATATAATATAATTTAAATTAAAGGCCACGTAAGTGAACTTAAAGAGAGTACACTTTAATGACAATATTTCTTAACATACTTAAGTGCACTTTTTAAAAATGCACTGTATAATAATGTCTAATTAAGTATTACTTAAACTTTCATTTGACATAATTATGATTTTATAGTGTTTTAAATAAGTTCACTTATTTTGATATATTTACCAATATACTGAAGCACATGTAAAATAATTGATTTTAATTTCAACTTAAGTGTGTTGTCCAAAATTACATTTGTTAATGTATTTTAAATGTATTTAGTCTATATCATACGTGACCCTGCCGCACAAAAGCAGTGTTAAGTCGCTGGGGTATATTTGTAGCAATAGCCAACAATACATTGTATGGGTCACAATTATACATTTTTCTTTTATGCCAAAAGTCATTAGGATATTAAGCAAAGATCATGTCCCATGAAGATATTTTGTAAATCTCCTACCGTAAATATATCAAAACTTCATTTTTGATTAGTAATATGCATTGCTAAGAACTTCATTTGGACAACTTTAAAGATGATTTTCTCAATATTTAGATTTTTTTGCACCCTCAGTTTCCAGATTTTCAAATAGTTGCATCTCAGCCAAATATTGTCCTATCCTAACAAACCATACATCAATGGAAAGATTATTTATTCAGCTTTCAGATGATGCATAAATCTCAATTTCTTGGTTTTGTGCTCCAAGGTCACATATACTCTGTGCATTAATGCACTTGAAATGTATTTTTCTTCTAAACTTCAATACACTTTCTTATACAGTATAGTCCAGTAAAACCTATTGTTTATAAATTGGTGGGTTTGCAGACAAAAGATATTTGAAAACATTTTTTCTGTGCCGTTTGATGCTGCTGGAGTCACAGAAGTTCCCTAAGCAGTCCGCTAGATGGCAGCAAAAGTGTAATCGGGAAACAGAATACGATCAAATGCATTATTGATTTCAGACAGGTGTGTAATGCTGTGTTTGATGGAACTGATGACCTTCAGAGGCTTATGTGAGTCCTGCTCAAATCATCAACGTTCAATAACTGTAAATATCTACATAATGGACATTAGTAAAATATAATACTAAATAATAGTAGTCATTGCATGTTAAATACTGAAGTATGGGTGGGAAGCCATAGTTAGGAAACAATAGACATTCTGTAACAAATTAATTGCATGTTGTTAGTTAATGCATTGAAGAATGTTAATTAATTGGACCTTATTGTAAAGTGTCACCATTTCTTAATGCATGCTAACAGACTTATTGTGAACGATTCTTCCATGCATTTACTGTTTTTATACATTCTTGCTGTAATCTTTAATCAGAAGTCTGGTTTGCTGCCTTGCTAAACTGATGAACAGATATGAGATCATGAATGGAGCTCATGGAGAGACAACAGTGAGACACACACAGAGCTTATATCTGATCATAGTCTCGTTTGCTGGCCTGTTAACGAGCTGAGCGCATGCATGAGTGACAGATTGTTCAGTGGTTATTGAAACCTTAAACTCTCTCTCTCTCTCTCTCTTACACACACACTCACACACACACACACACACACACACACACACACACACACACTGAACACACACACACTCACACACACACACACACACACACACACACACACACACACACTGAACACACACACACTCACACACACACACACACACACACACACACACACACACACACTGAACACACACACACTCACACACACACACACACACACACACACACACACACACACACTGAACACACACACACTCACACACACACACACACACACAC